CTGGTTTCTGATGTGTCCTGTAGACAAAGTCAGCTCACTACAGTGAGGTTAGACACCATGTGGACTCTGCGGACGGGGCGCTGAGGTTGTCTGTTTTGCCCAGGGTGGGGTTCCTGCCTAGTCTGTGACACTGGGGGAGCAGGAGCGGATTCCAAAGGAGGTCCTTTACCTAAATCCACATTTACCTTGTCATCTTTTCCTGCTGACTTCTGCCACTTGCCTGTGTAACCTGGACACTTGGGTGTGAGGCTCTCAGCTCCAAAATCGATTCTTCAGTTCCTTCTTTTTAAAAAAAGATGTTACTGTGTCACAACAAATAAACCTTGCTCATACTATCTGCATAATAAAATGTAGGAATAACTCTCCCCTGCCAAAAGACTTCTCAGATGACTCAGAAATAAACTCATATGCGTTTTCAAAAATAATAGAAACTCCGTGTTTAAAATGGCCTATTTGTTGATTTTAATATTGAAAACAACTTCCTATTCCTAAAATGATTTTTTCCCCCCAATCTATTCTTGGGCATCTTCTTGAGTTTCCAACCCTCATTAAGGGCGGTCTGGGTTTATGAAGGGGAGAATAAAAGCTTTCTGAATAGGACATTCCTGGGGGAGTCCATGTCCTCCGATTCCCTGTGAGAAGCGTCTAGGGCCCACCTTGTGAAGGTTCATCCCAACTAAATGTGTTCATCTGGACTTGGTCTTTACCAGCTCCATTTAAAAGGTGTTTGACCTGGGCAGTCATGCAGGAGACAACCCTGGCTGGGCTGGTGGTCTGCTTGGACAGGGCATGTTTAACCTCATGGGCCAGCTCTCTTGGGCCAAAGTCTTGTTTGTGGTTTAGAGTAAGGCAGTGTTCAAGCAGCCCACGATCAGAGCAAGATTGTGGAGTATCCTCAGAAGGGCCCTTCACATGGGCTCTACGTGAGTTTTCCTTCACAGAAATTGGCCAGGGGAAGCTGATATATTGAAGAAATCATCATTTTATCAGACGCAGACAGCAAGGAATCAGGATAAATGGGAAAATAACTCAGTGAAGCCCTGCATGCTGCCACGTAGGAGAGGAGCTCTCTCTCCTCTATGCTCGTGAATGAAGGTGGATTTTTCTTTACCTTGACTCTTCGTCCCATGTGTTCATTGTGCTGGTTTCTGAAACTGAAGTTGACAAGAGGCAGCCCTGTTCACTGAATGGCCTGGGCAGCAGCAAGTGTCCAGCAGGACTGGGGAAAAACAAAATGGCCCCCACTGCCTGGGTCTTGGGCTGTCTTGAATAAAGGGACTTGGAGCTACTGGAATGTCTTTCACATTCAAATCCCAGAGCTCCTTCCTTTGCATCTCAAAAGACAGAGGAAATATGGAAGAGTGGATTTTCTAGAAGTTTCCATGAGATTTCATAAGCAAGACATTGATCTGAGCAGGTCAAAGAGGAGATTGGTTATCTGGGGCTCCAGTACAGATACAGGCAAAAAGGCAATGATGAAGCCAGTGAGGTCTGTCTACACATCCTCAAGTGACCGTCTTGGGGAATTAGGAGAGAAAGAAGACATACATAAAAATTTTGTTTGAAAAGCTGATCCTAGGAATACGTCCTTTGGATGAAAGCTAGTGCTGCATAGATGGGAGGACACTAGAATTGGAATCCAGTGATTATTCGTTTTGGTTCATGACTTTGCCAGCCCCATCACCTTCCTTTCTAAGAATCGATGTTCTGGCTGGGCTCCGGCTAACTTCCAGCCTTCCCAGGGGGAGCCAGGATTACATCTGCGTCTTTGTATTTTGTATCCAGGTTTCTGCCGAGTCCAGCTCGTCGATGAACTCCAACACTCCCCTGGTGAGGATAACAACGCGCCTCTCCTCGACAGCAGACACCCCCATGTTGGCAGGGGTCTCTGAGTATGAACTGCCAGAGGATCCAAAGTGGGAGTTTCCAAGAGATAAGTGAGTCCTTCTGCTGGGTATATCCCCAAATGGAGGCTTAGCTATAAATGGGGATATGGGACTGACATTTTCTTTTCATGACCTTTAACTGCAAAGGTCTTGGTCTAACAATGTCAACAGCAGTCAGACTGTATTTTTAAATAATCAGCTTCTGGAAAGAAAAGAATGGATTTTTTAAATAGCTCCTTTCAAGCAGAGCCACTTAAACCCTGGCAGGTCCCCAAACAGGATGGTCTCTGATTATAATTTTTAAAAATTTCTAGATAATTCAAACCCAGTCAAATGGAATAAAAGTAGAATTACTCAATTTATAAAACAGATCTAAAACTCCAACTTCTGGTTACTAGAACATGATTGTTCTGTAGTTCATTTCTTTGGAGAAATTAAATGCAAAATATAAATTGCCTTTAAGGATCTTTAGTCAGTGTTGCTGTTTTTAGCAGTTACTAATGTAATATTGGACTGAAAAGCTTCAAATATGATACCTGACATCTCATTTCTGTGGTCTATAATATTTTCCTTATTGGTCGATATGGAGGTGTTCCCATCAGATGTTCAGTCAATATGTGGCCACCTGGGCTTTGTGGAAGGCATCGTTTTGGAAGCCGTGTACCTCTTGGTCCGGCTTGAAGGCCCTGTACTTTGGGTTCTGTTAGGCTGGATGTGAATCCTGGCTCTTCCAGCCAGGGTCTGGGCAACCTTGGGTGAGTCACCTGGTTCTCTGAACTTCATTCCTATAAAATGAGGGTATGGACCTCTCAGGACTGAGCACAATTCATTTGCCTTTATGTATTGGTAACCTGCAAGCTCCAAACTGCAAACCTCAGCAAGATGGTTGTGCTAGGCATAAAGTCAGTGGGGCAGATCTTGGGCTACCAACCCACCATCCTTTAGGCAGGGACCAACTCCCAAACCCACCTTCTGAAATGAAGTGCAGCCATCAGCTCACTTCTGGGGTACCTCTTGTAGTCAGTAGAGTCCAAACAGCTTGAGAGTAATAGAAGGAAGAAATGCTGACTGTATTTCTGCATCAAGCAGACTGCACTCCTGACCTGCTTACAAAGACCTACTCCATTTCTCTCAACATTTGCATTATCTCCCGAGATTATGTTAGAGAAGTGTTTAATATACATTTCTTGTATATATACACACAAATTTGGAAACACAAAGATAAGCTTTTCCAGAGACTGGATATGATGAGCTCTTTTTGGAAAGGAGAGAGAGCTTATGCACCACTTGTGATTTCGATTCGCACAACTTCACATCATTTTTGTTTCCCAGCAGCCAACGGAGAGATACTAATTGGTATCATAAGCTAGAACCAAATAATTGTATAGGTATCGTTCAGTTAGAGTGTTAATGGAAGGAATTTCCAGTTGATTTGTGTACTGTAGTGAAGAGATCATTTATTCATTCATTCAAGACATTTACTTTATTTTTTTTATTGGACACTTACTGGGGAGACACTAGAGAAAACACGAAGAATGGTTTCTTTACCTGCAGAGTGGAGAGAGAGAAGGGGGTGTTTCTTGTGAGACCTGCCAGGCTCCCTAGATTGTAAGCGATTATACAAGTAGGTCAGTTCATGTGCGCATTCCTACGTATATATGACTGAGTTGGGGAGTTGTGATTATATTTTAAGAAATTGCAGCTTTCTGCTTCAGTCCATAGTTTTGCCACCTGTGACACCGCAGTCAACAGTGGGAGTCTGTATGTGCCGAACTGTTAGCTCTCACCCGGGGGTACCCGGAGTGTGGAAAATCTGAGTGCGATGCATTTCAAAACAGTGTTTAGCACAAACGTAGGTGGAGCAGATTTCCAATGAATGAAGGCCATTTAGAAGCAGTTTATTAGATCGGAGCAGAAGTTATACAAAGAAATGATTGTTATGCTTGTAGTAGCAGGGCAGTGGGACATAAATTTGCTATTTTTCCAATGCAAATGTTTATTTTCTGCCAAGATGTTAAATTTAATTTTAGTTCTGGGTAGAAGGGGAATGACCTCAGCACAGCATATGCTGCCCTCAGTCTTTTCGCTGAACTTTTGCAAACCATTGTGTATTTACTGTAAGTACCATTTCCTAATGGCAGCCCAGTACTCTGCTGTGCTGAGTAAAAAAACCAGTAAATATTCCAAAGACTTCTCCATTCTCTTGGTTTCTGGAATTCCCAAGGACAATATATGAAGGTAGTTTAGAAAATTCTTGGAAAGATTTGTGTTATCTTTAATTCTGTGTTCCCACAAACTTTTTGAAGTGTCCTTGTATGTCTCTTTGTGTGATGTGATAGAGCTTCTAAGCTTAGAAATTTAATTTGTGGCATTCACTTAGGATTTTCTTTATTGTTAATTTCAGGTAGTGACAAGGATTTCTAAACTTATGTCAAAAAAAAAATTCCAATTTCTAGAATTTTCTTTTTCCTTTAGTGAAAAATTAGAGATTCCTTGAAATGCATTTAAGATTCATATCCTGTAACTTGGCAAGGAATGTGACCATAAAATCCACTGGTATTTGAGGAATAGTGATTCTAAAGCCACCACTTTAAAGGGACAGAAAAATAAGAACAGCCTTAACGTTTTTATATGACATTCTAAATTACAAATATTTCATTGGCTCAAGATCAAAAGCTCCTCGTTGTCAGCACTTAGGAAAGCTGACCACCTCACTAGCAAGGATATCTTCCATAAAGAAAATAAATCGAGACGAAAACGTGAAATTTAATAGCTGTTCCACCAGTAATTGACATTCTCTAAAACGTCACTAAGAAAATACTCCAGCGCGTGTGTACTCTGCGTCTCATTAGTTCCATATGATAAATACGCCATGCTTTTGCATGCTGTTGAAAGATTTTTATATTTAGTTCTGGAATTCCCCTCGCTACGCCCCTTCACCAGATGCTGCGCGCTAATCCCCTATTTACACATCTAGGCTAACGCTGGGCAAGCCCCTGGGGGAAGGTTGCTTTGGGCAAGTGGTCATGGCAGAAGCTGTGGGAATCGACAAGGACAAACCCAAGGAGGCAGTCACCGTGGCAGTGAAGATGTTGAAAGGTGAGTCGGGAGGCAGGGGTGGGGGCAGGGTGGAGAGTCTTATCAAGAATGTTCCTTTTGTGGCATGTGAACTCTATCATGGCAGCGGGTCAGAGAGCACATAGTTGACCTGTGGGGTTGAGATGTTTTCAGCATAAATCAGTATCTTGGACAGACTGTTTATCTTGAGCTGTGTGTACTTATTTAAAAAAAACGCAGTTTTGTTAGAAAAGTGTAGCCTTCTAGATTGAGTGATTCTTTGACTCCTTAGAGATGACCATGATTCTTCATTCCCTCTCTATTTTTAAGTGCTTCGAAAGCATCCACTCACCTGTAATTGATGGATTTAGATGGGGATGGGTATGCTGAATTTGGGACTCAAACCTGAACTACAAATAAAGGCAAATTGGTATTTTGGGAAGGTGCAGGGAGGCTTAGGGAGAACACCTCTTTTGCGCAAGAAACAGAGTACAAGTGACTCCATGTCTGGGAGAGTCACTGACTGGATTGGAGCCTCCTGGGACATAGGAACAAGGACCCTGCGGTGGAAACGCCGTGTCCCGTCTGTGGGAGTCTGAACATTTCTGCGTAAACCTTCCAACCCTGCTTCATGTCTAAGTCCGAGGAGCTTAGGAACTTTTAACCATTAACTTGTTCCTCCCGCAGTATTCTTTTATGAGAAGAGTTACAGGGAACGGTCACATTATAAATCCTGTTGTAGAGATCTCAGGAAGGAGATCCTCGCTGCGTGTTTCCCACGTTTCCAGGCACAGAGGTCTGCCCTGGCGGTGTGGGGCGCCTGGCACATTGGGGGCGCTCCAGAGTTAGGCTTTTTCTTTTTTTCTTGAGTTGTCATGAGACAGTCGTCACATCCCTCCCTAACGGGAAGTAGGAGGCTGGAAATAGTCAAAAAGATGTTCATTTTGTTTTTTAGCTATTGACCCGAATGACTCCCAAGGAAAACTAGGGTGTTTTGAGATGTTCCCCACCATGGGTTTTGCTGCCAGGGCGGAGAACTGTGCTTTCTCACCCCAGGTGTCTTGGCACCACCGACCACGTACCAGGGTCAGGTGTGGGGAGGGCCCAGGCTTCATGTCTCTTTCGGCACAACTTCTGATGTTGCTAGTGGGTCTCAGAGTTACATGGGAGACTGCAGCAGTGGAGGTCTGGGAGTTCTGTTTCTCTTGTTACGCCAAGGCTGGCAGTCTACCCTTTTGTGACATGTAGAAGGACATTAGCCTCAGCACCCTCATGGAGTGTCCTTTTTCACATCCAGTGGATGGCCAGGAGCCTGGAGAGCGGGGGATGTCCTCAGCCGTGTGTCCACAGATGTGCCCCTTCTGCATGCAGTGTAGGTTTTGCACACACAGTCAGTCGTATTGCTCTTCCTTTTGTGAAGCTAAAAAGCTTCTCTCAACATGGTTTCTATTTGTGCCCTATTTCTTTCTTTTTCTTTTTTTTTTCCGTAAGCCCAGGTTTTTCCATATTGAATTAGCTTGAAGGGGTGCACATGGCGGGGGGAGTCTTGTTACGTATTAGAAGCTAAGTGAGCCTGTGTATGTATGACCTGTGCCATTTTTACCTGAACTTACAGAGCAGAGGTTTATAGAAGTAGGATGGGAATCACAGCTCCCTTTGAGAATCCCATAGAAAGCAGGGACCTTTGCCTGCTCAAAATGCCCATGCACGTGCACACACGCGTTCCAGAGAGTTACGGGGTGCCCCTTGAAACCAGCTGTGAGTGCTCTAAGGGCTGCTAGGGGTCAGGTTAGGCATGCTTGGTCGGGAGAAAGTCTGTAGTGATTTGAAGGGTTCCTGCCTGTGTTCTCCTCTCTGGTTGTCCTCAGACTTGCTTTCAGGCACCATGAAGTTTGATGTGGTTTTTCGAGGCACCTTAGACGTGGCAGAGGATGGGATTATTTCACAATTGAGGAAAACACTCTCATGTTGGTGAGGTTTGCTGGAGAAGAATTGGCCCAAGTGTCAGAGACCTGCACTCTGGTCCTGACTGTTGACCCCATTAACACAGAGTGGGGCAGTTCTCTGTCTGGGCCTGTGTCCCTTCACTGATAAGATGAGGGAGATGATTTGGAAGGTCTTATCTGATTCTAAAGTGCAACTTCATGCTGTTTCAACTAAGTTTTTGACAGTTAACC